GATCTATTATGGAATGCAGCGCACCGACTACTGATTATAAAACTATCTAATCAATTACCCTTACATAGGAAGGAATGAACTGAATACAAATCACAACAAGAAGGTGTGTCGTAAAGGTGTGTGCGTTCAGTGAAGGCGTGGGTATTTTTGTGGAATTTTTGCGTAATCATTTTTCATGTGTGTGCAAAGATCGTTGGAGAGCAGGATCGCAGGTTCTGACCTATCTGGACCTTCTCTTGAGCGAAGGGGGTCAGTCTGAATCAAAGATTAACTGTCAGCCATCAGTGAGAGCCACTCATGGCTCAGAGGGGGTCAGGTGTTCTGGTGACCGCACAGCAAGACCATAGGTCCATCAGGTCATCGGTTAACCGTTGAACCCCACAGGAAGACTTGCGAGATGGAGGAAAAAGATTTACTGTCTCTTGCCCCTTAATCATTGTACATGTTCGCTGAATCATTTGTCTAGAACACAAACACACCATAAATCTTCACACGACCTACGCGGAGTGCTTCAGGTTTTATAATTTCACCTGTGATTTTAAGTTTAAATGTTAAAAGCTAATAATAATGTCAGTAAGTCAAATATTTCATTATGTAAAATAAATTAAATTAACTCGTATTGAAGGGGCTTTATACTTTCCAACACCCTCATCTCCCTACTTGAAGACGTGAAAATTTCTTAAAATGGATCATAAATAAATATTCTCACTTTCTAAAAAGACTTCAGCAGCTGGGAACTGTAGTCTACAGCAAGCTTAACTCAAACAGGTGTAAATTGTGCATTTGTTAGGGACTGTTTTCAACCATGGATTAATACACTATGAGTATTTCTGGCAGCAGGACAGTTCTTGTTCAATTGACGCAAAATAAACTAAAGTGACCATGTTCATCTAAACAATGTTCCTTAGGAGGAATAATCTCTATTATACTTATTAGTCAGATCAATGCAGTGTTAGTTTGGGTCTTTTTAATGGGATTTGTTGACAATGAGAAAAAAATATTTTCAAATTGATGTAAAGTAAACAGGTACAGATAGTGTGTGTTACATACATTGTAGCTGAAAATCATACTTTACCATCTTTTATATTTAACGCTGTAACTCTGCCTTTGACATTGGGTGTAAGCTGAAACACACTTACTTAGAACTAAATCATAAGTAATCACATTAGAGAATGCCTATTAGACTTTGTTGGTTATCTCTGATAAGCTGGCTCTCTATTAAGGCCAGGGTCACACACACACACACACACACACACACACACACGCACACACACATATATATATATATATATATACACTGGAATCTGCCACACATGCAAAAACTGTGAATAAGCAGGAATAAAGTCAGCAATAAAGCCGTGCTGGTAATCAGTATCTCGGCCGGAGAACTTGTATGACTGCCATCTATTATTACAAGTCATCCATATAAGTAAATGAGTAGCGTGTCACAAGACCAGAAGTCCTGCTGTTTATTTCTGTAGAGTGATACGACCTGTAGGAGGACACCACAGTGTTTAGTCCCACACTGTGCTTTCCTGGAAGCTGACAAGAGCAGAAACTGACAAACTGTTTTAGGAACGTAAAAAGAAAAAAAAGCTTCCTGCTGTGATCTTTGGTATCTCCAACTGCTTAATTGTTTCAAGTAGTTTTCACAACTTTTATGGTGTACAAAGAAAATCCTTCACATGCTTAAATATGTAAGGATTATAAGAAAGATGTTTGCTGATTATAACACAAAGGAAATCTAGTCCCTGATGTCTTTCCGCGCACGTTATTATTATCAGCTGTCAGCCGAGTGAAACAATGAACTTGAGCGAAGAGAAGTGAGAACTGTGGCTGACCCTGCAGGACACATGATGTCCTCACACTGAGGTTCATGCTGCTCAACCGTCAGCATGCTGACTACAACAGGATGAAGCATTAAGTCACACTGAGGCGTTATCGTGGTGTCTTAACATATCTGTTTTCTGTCCCTTCGCATTGTTTTTGATTTAATGTGTCCATGTACAGTGGATTACAGTCCTATATACTTATGGTACTCACTAGCAACACCAGGGTAAGATATATTTTCATTATTAATAAATCTGTAGATTCTCTTCTCGATTAATTGATCTGAAAAATGTCAGAAAACTCAACGTCCCAGAACCCCAAGTGACGTGTTAATCCTTTCAAATGCTTTCAGTGCTTACACATCAGCTGACAGTTCCCCTGCTTTCATCTCTTATTGTTTAACTGAGAGTTCATCTACTTTCAGTGATACACTCCCTTACTCTGAGCTCAATGTGTCACACATTCACACTTACAATTCCTCTCAGGACTTTCACTTCAACATCACTCAACAGTTAAAGTCGTTATTAATGATGCTTTTGATGAATTACAGAGAATTATCACCTGTATCTGCAGCTCTCCTCAGTTTATAGTGAGTTTCAGCTCATTGTTTACACAACTTTACTGTTTTGGTTCACTCTCATCGCTCTTATAGTGCTTTGGCTATTTCAACACTTCCATTTTCGCTGCCATTTAAACTTCTTTCACTGTATGTTGCCTGCCACTTTAACTTCTTTAAGTGTTTCAGCTATTTCACAGGTTTCAGCTGCAAATTTTCAACTGTAAAACTTAAACTTTCTTAAAATTTCTCCTGACAATTAAGCCTTTTGTTTGTGATTATAAAATGGTTGCAGATTAGTTTTCTGTTGCTCTAAATAACAAGACTTTTGTTCAGAGGTTGAAGAACTTTTTACATAATTAAAATCTATACCACATTTTCCCAAATCTGAGTCCTTTCATTATTGTCCCTGCCTGCCTCCGTCCTCTGTTGGCTCATTTTCTTTACTTTTTTTCCCCTTTTCCTCTCCTTCCATCCATGTACCTGTCACCCTCATTCCTCTGGTTCACTCAAGCTCAAAGAAGAGCAGCGGGGAGGGGGGGAGGAGAAACTAGGAAGGTGTGGAGAGGAGGGCAAGCTGAGAAGGAGATGGGTGAGGAGGGGGAAGAAATGTAGAAAAGAGAGTGTGTGTGGTGGTGGTGGTGGTGGGAGGGGGTGACAAGGAAAAGACCAGATGGAGAGGAGCGAGAGAGGCATAATGAACATAGAGGAGGGGACTAAATGTTCAGGCCCCCCTCAGCGCTAGAAAATCCTTTAAGGTGAAACTGGCCTGAAGAATTTCAGGTCAGACGGAGTGCGTAAGTGACCGCCTTCAGCCCACCCCAACTTCACCACAGAGGGATGATTCCAGTTCATTTACTCTGAGAGCCCCCCTGCCTTCAGGACCTTCACATTTGTCCACTCAAAACACCCCCATTTTTACTCAAACTCCACATTTTTAAGTAATACAACAAAGAGCCTGCAGCTTCACATTTTCTTTTCAACACAAATAACAGCATCGGCATTAACAGCGACTAATTCAAACGCTCATATATAATCAGTCATAGTCTAAGCACTAATTATAAACAGGCTTTGAATTCAGTCTTAATATAAAGCCTGAGAGGATAGAAAGGTCAACTGCAGCCGAATGTTGCCACATATGTCCCCTCACACAGCTACATAGTCATTACTAATCATCTGCTTTAGCTTTAGCGCTAACTGAAAGGGGCTTTGCTTCCTTAGGCAAACACATTCCTCAGGCTAATCAGCTAGCCTGTTCAAGGCCATAGCAGACATTGTTTCAGACAATTACTTTTGACGTTGACAGTGTCACACACTCGTGATAAAGGCTTTAGTGGCCCCCGTGTGTGTGTGTGTGTGTGTGTGTGTGTGTGTGTGTGTGTGTGTGTGTGTGTGTGTGTAAGGGGAAACCAGTGAGATTTAAGGCTGGATGATATTTGGCACCCAGATATTTGCATATAACTTCTTTTTTTCAGCATCCCTCACCCTCACACTTACTACACGATCTTACAAAAGACCTAACCTTCATACACACTTTTATACTCAAATAACGGCCCTCCCTGTCGACAAACATAGTTGGGAGAACTGTGTCAGACTCGTGCAACTGAAATAACAATTCTGTTCACGCAATCATTTTGTTTTGACTGTAACTTAGATAATCTTTTACCAAATAAGTGAACTGCATCATATAAAAAAGAAAATTGTGTAATTTTGTTCACTGTGTGTGTAGCTTTAAGTGTCACTTAAATGAATGAAACATATCAACAGGTCTTTGGGTTCCCTGTCTCACACACACACACACACACACACACACACACACACACACACACACACACACACACGCACACAGCAAACAGCTCACCTAACCCAGGTAAAAGTCCACATATTATATGACGACCAACCCGGAAGTCTATGGGTAATAATACCAGCCTCTCCATGAAGTCACTGAAGCATTTTTATCCCCCACCTTTAACACACATACACACACACACACACACACACACACACACACACACACACACACACACACACACACACACACAAACACACACACACAAACACACACACACATGCATACAGTGTCATGCCACTCCACTGGTTCCACTGGTTTCACTAAAAGGACATCACAATCTCCATTCCACCCACTGATTGGTTTAAGTGCCATTGTTGTCTGTTTCCAATCATTTTGGCTCTGATAAAGTGGTGAAACAGGGAAGTCTGGTACCTAATAAAGCAAAACACCAGATTTCCTCCACGAGAAGAGAGTAAAAATAGACAACAACACAAACTCCAAGAATAAAGAGTTGTTTCCTGTAAAGTTTTGTTATAACATCCAGCAAAATTTTACATTTTACATGGAGGGCGGAGACACACTAGGAAGTGTTAAGGTCATCTATCAAAAAGACACCCGACAGTTCCAGAATAGCAGATTTTGCTCACAAACTGGAGAATCTGGTCTTTCAAGGCCAGATTAAGATTTCTGGAGGTCAAAAGTAGTTTTTTAAAACACAGAGCGACACAGAAGTTTAAAAAGCAACTTAAACAAGACAACTTTTTAGTACAGAGACCAATAAAAAGACAGAAAAACACTTGAGGGTCGACATTAACACTGTACCTGTATCCCAAACTGAGGAGCGCAGATATGGACGAGCAGGCCAAGAAGATGTAGTTGGTGCGTTTTTGGCTTTTGGGAGTCACTTTGCACATTCACACTCGTCTGAAACTCTCTCTCTGTCTGTCCATTCACTCTGCTTTGATGCTGACAGGCTGCGGCAGTAAGAGACTCTCCTCGCCTGCCAGTGTCTGGGTGTTTGAGTGTGGAGGCAAGCAAAGGTGGTTTAGTGTTTACTTATTCTCACTGGCCAGAAGAGAGAGGTGGGGCCACTCAGTACAGGTAACCCCCCCACTGTTTTTCTTCCTTCTTCAATCTCTCCCTCCCCTCTCTCTCTCTCTCTCTCTCTCTCTCTCTCTCAGCTGATAAGAAATAAGACAAAAGGGAAGGGATAAAGGGCAGAGGGTGTGACCAAGGTGATGATTGACAATTGGGGAAAAGTCATGAGCTAGTGTGTGAGTGTGCATATGTATTAACAGATTCACTTCTCATCTTTAAATAAAATGGTGAAGGTTAATATTTCACTCACCTTTCTGAAACAAGACTTTGAGTCCATGTTAGCAGCTCATTGTCATCTCTCTATTGTAATCTCGCTAATAACTAGGTATATAAATAACTCAAATGCTTTGAGCTAAACGCTAACATCAGCATGCTAACATGGCCACAATGACAATGCTGAACATGCTGATGTTGAGCAGGTTTACCATGTTCACCATCTTCTTAGTTTATCATGTAAGCATGCTAATATTACTACATTACGACTACCTGAGGCTGATGAGAATGCCATTACCTTTGGAGGTATTTGGTGAAACTGACGGCGTTGGATGAAAAGTCTAGGAGTTTCATCAAAATGATCATAATTCATCCCCTGGGAAACAATAGTTGTTAAAGGTCCATGTGTGTAAGATTTACTGGTGTCCAGCGCTCTAGTTACAGATTGCAATCCTACGTGCAAGGCGACACACAGTGACAGGTAACAAAAGAAAAATCTGCCAATACATCCTTCTAAATGTTACACACTGAACCTTCAAATATTTCAGTCTGGACCAAAGTGGTCGACCAACCGACCGACCGACCACCATTACCATCCTTCGAACCACAACCAACCAACATAAAAAGGTTAACAAAGGGTCAAAGTTCATCAGAGCTACATGATCTGTTACTCGAGCTGTCTTGTGTTTGCCTGCTTGAGAGCACTTTTAACCGCCTATTTATTCAAACCAAAGATTTAACTTTTTGTATATCTTCAGGCATATTAGAAATAAAGAACTTCAAGGTCAATAGAGACTCAAAATAAGTCAAACAGTGCCTAGAAAGACACTGTAAATTTGAGGAGTTCTCTGCCTCAGGCACCTCAGAAAAAAAACGCTGCTGGTTTTTCTATGATCACTTAGGATTCATCCATTACACACTGTGGTGGAGGAAGTATTTAGATACGTTACTTTAGTAATAATAACAGACTATAACAATACTTTGTTACGAGTAAAAGTCCTGCATTAAAAATGTTACTTAAGTAAAAGTTTGTAAGTAGAATCCTAAACTATTAAAAGTACAAGAACTCAATGCAGAAAAGTGGCGCCTATGACTGTTTCACTATTTCATGAGATTATTATTACTGATGCATTCATGTAAAAGCAGGATTTACTGTTGGTGTTGGTTGAGGTGGATTTTTAACTATTTTTTATAGGACTGCTAGCAATTTTTTTTATTATGGAAAATCTACTGATTATTTTAATTGACCAATCCAAACACAACATTCTCAATTATTCAAAATAAATGAAATTATCGAAATAATTAAGTGGAAAAGCAACAAATCCTTACATTTGTGAAGTTGGAGACATGAAATGTTTATGTTTAATATCTAAATAGTTGCCAACAATTAATCAACTAATCGTTTGAGCTGTATAAACTGACGGGTAGTAACTGTGGGTAAAACATTACATTTTATGGGCTCTTTGTATGTTTTGTATGCAAAAATCTTAATTTGTAAAGTAACTAGTAACTAAACTGTCAGATAGTGTTAGTAAAGTAAAAAACAAAGCACTACAAGATTTCCCCCTGATGTAGTGGAGTAGAAGTATAAAGTATTCCATGACAAGAAAATACTCAAGTGAAGTAAAGTACCACAAATCTGTACTTAAATGTACTTAGTTACATTCAAACACTGGGTTTGCCTCAGTGGACTTCTGACTCATCCAGTTGTTAATGGGAACTGACACCAAAGTAATTGTGATTGAGTTTCAGCTAACAAAGTTTTGAGTTTCATTAAGTATGAATTGAAAGTCACTTTGCCGGCAACACACTGATAAATACACAACAGAGATAAAGAGAATACAAAGTAGAGTAAAGTTGTCACATTCCAGTCATATTTGACAGAAACACAGAGAGAATAGGAAAGAGACCACGTTGACAATGTGTGGAAGTGTACATAACCTTAAACAACCCTTAAAGTGAACGGGGGCCTATATGCTCTTATCAGACGAGGTGCCATTCTACTCCAGCACAAGTGTGTATGTGTGTGAGTTTGTGTGTGTTTGTATGTGTGTGTGTGTGTTTCTGTGTGTTTGTGTGTGTGTGTGTGCTATTGCCATTGTACAAGTGACACATTAACCAATGACTCTGTTAATGAAGGACATGCAATCACTGATTCTTGACTTTTTGGCAGCACACACACACACACACACACACACACACACGCGCGCGCACACACACGCGACACACACACACACACACACACACACACACACACACACACACACACACACACACACTGTATATACAGATAGCCAGTTCAAAGTTTACGAATGGAGAAATCTATTCTCACCCCAACAGGGTGTAATAAGGTTGGAGTGAAGGCCATATGCGGTCATAAACCTATTTTAAAGGTGGAGAATGATTCAAAGACCAAGATGACTTTATTACCAGCACACTGTATCACACAAACACAGTCTCGCTCTCTCACGCAACACCCAGCCTAAGACAAGGAAAACAAAACTCTTTGAAAACGGAAAACATAAGTACAAAAAACTGTAAAAACACTGTTTCTAAATGTATATTATTTGTCAACAAGTATAACTTCTCCTCCTACGAAGACATTTTATATTATCAACTGTGTTTTACTATATTGTCATTTATTAGCCTCCACTTATGGGAGCCCACAGAAAGAGTTATAATTGTTGCCAAACACATCAATAAACACCTTAAATCTACAGTATGTTGTGTAATAACCCCTTTATTTAATGTTTATATACTGCTTATAAATCCTCCTCAGACAGATGAATGTGCAGGAAAGGACAACAAAAACATGAAGAGAAAGATGTAACAGTTGGTAAAGAAAATTAAAAAACGCACAACAAACAGTGGGATTATAATAAAAATAACAATACTTAACTCTTCATCACCCAGCCTGTGATTTGTGATTAATACTTATACAAGTCCCTGCTGGTACTTTAATGTAGGTACAGTGGATCAAAACAAGACTATGGGGAATTACAGACACTGTGTCTGTAGAACGGCTCATTCTAAGGTAAGTAAAACACAACAATTCATTTTCAGATGATTATACACTAATGAAGACATACCCATGAATATTATATTCCATTTCTGTAAATAGAGATTCCATAACGTTACACACTGAACCTTTAAAAACTGAAAAAGCGAGAGCAATGCACTTTACTTCACAGCCAACCTAATTTGTTCTTTCTGTGTAATTACAAGATTAAATAATAATTATTGGTTCCTTATGAAACATTTAAGATTAGCTATGTTTAATCCATCTACATCTATTTAAACACCCAATGGTTATTCTCTTGTTCCACAGTCTTGTTTTCTTCCTACATTAGAGTTCCAGTAAGAACCTGTAAGTACTTTATTGGTACTTCACTCACACAACACAATTACACTGTAAACCAAACAACACGTCTGTGATAAAGCTTCAAGTCAGTGAAGATAGCAGAGAGCAGCCATCAGCTCGGAGTTCATATCGAGACCGAAGGAGAGACATGAGGGAACAGGCCTGACAGGTCTGATACGAACCTGTATGCAATCATAAGAAGCTGCACACAAACAGCTTTGCAACGGTCACTGACACACATGAGGGATGTTAAAGTCTGAAGAAGAGTCTCCGGTCTTGTTGCCACCCACACTGAGAGTTACAGTTGAGCTATTAATATTGACGTGCACGTTGGCAGATACACACACAAAGAGATTGCGGAGCTGTAAATTGTGTTTATTATTAACAGCATTTTTATGCTTATCTCAGATTTTCTGTAACTGTCATCTTTAAAAATAACATTTATTGTTTCACAATATTTGTTTATATTTATTTATGTAAGAAAAATGGTAATACTGGCCAAAATATGGTTATTAAATGTTTATTCTTTAGAGGTTTCCATATGGATATCGGTATCAGGCTCTAGGATACACTCCCACATGCACGTTCACATGCTATATGTGTCAGTTTCCACTTGGTATCAGTAGCCATTCAGACTGATAATTCTGTTTAAAAAATTATTAAGATCATTATAGCCTTAATGGACACAGTTTATAACCATTAATTATGTACAGTGCAGTAAAATGTGACATTTAAGCATTTGAGTCAAACATTAAATCATCAAGTACATTTCAACACAATGCAGGCATAAACACTGAGTGAAACAATGTCACTGCCGAGAGATACTGTATTGTATTGTACATAAACTTTACTACCGACTGTTCATGGAAACATAAACATCACAGAAATGTGAACGTCCTGAGATGAGTGTCACCCCTGCAGGGCTTGTGAGACAGCTGAAGGGTGAAGCTGAACAAAATTCTTATTTATTAAGAAAATACTTCCAGCAGGCAGAAGAAATACACCTTCATCCTGGTTAGAAACATCTGCGTCCTTGTGTGTTTCTGGTCTGTCTGTCTCTACCAACCTTTGGTTCCCATTTACTCCTGTATCTTTTTCTCCTTTCACTGTATTTGTATTATTATAAATAAAAAATTACAATTAAAGATTCAAAAACTAAGATCACAGATCAAAGACTAAAATATCTACTATAACATTAAATTACAGGTAAATTTAGGGTTGTTGTCCAGTGTTGCTTTAAGATGTTGTTGTTTTTTCTTCTGGTGATACTCATAAAGTTTATGATACAAACTAAAACCGAAAAAATAACAAACCTGCTCATGTAACTTGAAGACTTAC